AGGATTAACAAGACTCAACTGTTTTTTAATTACAATTGTAATCGAAAATGGAATTTTGGTTTTGTATTTTTGGGCAATGAAAAGCATTATTAAGTTGGAAAATATAATGTTTGTTTTGAATTAAAAGCACCATAAAAGTAATTTTTGAATCTTGGGTCAATAGTTTAATTATTGTTTATACAAACCAATATTATAGTTTTATTTATATTCACTGACAAACATCATATGCACTGACATCAGTCCATAAAAAATTAAGTCAGTTACTATTGTCTGACATATTTTATAGGGATTTGTGTCATTTCTCATAATGATTAGGTAGGCAAAAGATACTTTGTGAGTCAAATATAGTTTATTTAACTAAAGTAGTTTATGGTTAACTAATTTTTGAATTTTTTGTCTCTTCTCAGATATACAGTTAGACAAGTTTGCCTTAAATGGAATAGTTTGACTTAAATGATTCACGTTAATGGTTTAAAAACCAATTATTATAGTAAACAGTGGGTTAAACTAGAGAATAATCAAATGGTTAAATAGAATAATATTTAAATTATTATTAATTTTATTGATTTATGTCACACTCTGATCTTGAAAAATAAAACCACGACACATGTTAAGTATTGTTTTATATGTTTCAATGTGTTTGTCTCGTTGAGTTCAAACGCGCCAAAACATGTGCCGCCTCATTCTGAAACGTTTGTATTACTTTATATTTATTTTAATATGATAAATCAGCAGTATTTCCTATCGCGATGGAAGAATACTGCTTTTAACTTAATTAAATAATAATATCCATAAAAACGAATTCAAAGAAAGGAAATACTGCTAAATTTCTCAAGAGTGTGATTTATTAAGAATCATCGCTTGATTTTGGCCAATAAAAAGTAAACCAACTTAATAAAGAGTGGGCCTATGTTTTTTTGGTTTGTTCTTAAGAAATGCTCGTTCAATGGAGAACAACAAAAATAATAATTTTACACTCTAGGGAAATTAGACTGTATTTATAATTGAATTTGAAATGTTATGGTTACTTTATTTAACAAATTTTGATAAAACTTTATTGTTTGTGGTCACATTAAAATGTTGGTGATGATCATGATCGTGTGATAGTTTATAATTATCTTTACTTTTTTCATTGCTTTCTTATTCTTTATGTTGTGTGTTTGGGTTTTTGGCTTGCTTTTAATTATTCAATTTTTTATATAAACTTGATAATAAAAAAGCAATTAATTAGTTCGAGTTATAGTTCAAAATTTTATTATAATTAAATTATAATATTTACCATTTAACCCAAACTTGTCGTTTAAGTCAATCTTGTCATACTGTAATGTGATGCAAGTGATAAAATTTTAACAAGATATTTAATAAATATGTAATAAAAAATACTATATAATTTTTATATAAATTATTTTTATAAATTATTTTAATAATAATTATAATAATTTTTATTAAATTTGAAAATGAAATAGAACTGATCTAGAAATACAAAAATGAAAGGCCATATTTTTGAATAAAGTATTAGATTTTTTAAAACATTTTAATAAAAAACATTTTTAAAGAAACAAAATTTTGTTTCTAATATTAATATATAAACGATTTATTATTTATTCATTATAATAACTAATTTTTAATTAAAATGTATCATATATTTTTGAAATATAATGTTTGTTTCAAAGTATAATATGAATAACATTAACTATAATTATCTTTCGTATTTATTAAAAATAACAGAAAAAAGTCAACTCATTTATTCAAAATTCGTGTTTTTTATCAAATAATTTTAAAAGAAATTGATCGATTTTAAACGAATTAAAAAAAATTAAAATCTTACTTAAATACTTCGAAAAACAAATTATATCAAATATTTTAAAGATTGGTCGAAAAGTTAAATTGATAATTTTTATATATTATATGGATCAACTCCATCAATTTAACACCTTTTAACAAATTATTTTTTCTAAACAATAATAAAAACATTGATACTATAGTGTTTTTTACTTAGAAATTATTAATTCAAATACTATAAAACTATTATAATAAGAAATTATATTCTTCGATATTTGAAACAAATCTTTTTTCGTTAAAATTTATCGTTATAAAGTATTGATTACTTTATACGAAAAAATCTTCAATAATTGTTTGTATATAAAACACTGACTTTAATAACTCAAAATTTACAAATGCTTCAAAATAAAAATATACAATTTAATAACAATTACATTAATAATTACAATTATAACACAACCATATTGAATAAAGCAAAAAAATATGGATAATTTGAGCTTTATATAAAAATACAACAAACAACATATCCGTTTATTGTTTTAGCACCAAAAACAATATAAACTTGAATTTATAATTCTGTAATAATTATAATGATATTTTTATTGGTTGTAGCTGTCATTGCTACAAACACAGAAGTTGAGTGGTGCAAATACCAAACAAACTTGAATGTT